GGTGTTTGAGCCATAAGGCTCGTGGTTGGGGGGGCGGACGTCTTTTAGTAGTTTACTTAGTACCCAGGCCGCGTAGTGTACGTGTTTGTAGATAGCGAGCGGGCTGCCATCGAGCACCACTATATAAATTGTTGAATTGCGCAACAAACAAAAAAAAACATGTCATGGTTGATAGAAGGGAAGAACTGCGCGATGTCAAAAGCCAGCGCGCTAGTCTGGAGACCCTTAACCCACCCCGCTCACACGAGATGGGTCAGAATCAGTCCAGCATCCTCAGTTGACCTTTGGCGAATGCCACCAAGTTGGTTAGGATGGAAGATATCATGCTTGACAGTGTCAAACTGTATCCTATTGGCAATCATCTTCTCAATAAGTTTACCAAAAGTGATGAGGAGTATGATAGGCCTGAAAGCCTTCGGCACAGCGTAGGAGGGCTTATTTGGCTTCAGAACGATAACCGATAGCGACTCCTTAAAAATACGTGGCCAATGACCCACCCGAAGGCAAGCGTTGGCCAGCACGATGAAGAGCACAAGGACGTGTTTATCCTTGAGCAGCTCCTTTAGGTGGACCCATGTAACGTGGTCCGGTCCTGGTGCAGAGGAGTTGGAGCACCCCTTAAGGGCACTCAACAACTCATGCTCCGAGAAGTCAGCCCACTCACGGACCGGCTCGTCGGGAAGCTCGTCGAAGACTGAGGCATCGTACTCGCGACCAGAGCCAAGTTGTACGTGCCGTGCAGGGCGTCCCAGAGGTCGTCCATATCATGGCAAGGCTGGTCGCCATTGCGAATAGCCTCACAGGGTGGTAGCTTGCGCTGTTTGACCCATTCCATTAGGTCCCACGGGCGCTTGCGAGAAGTAGCGATCTCCGCGATGCGTTCGTCGAAGAAGTCACGTTTGGCGTCCTTACACGCCTTCTTAAACTTGTTGTAATCAGCCAGTGAGCGGCTCAACTGATATACTCCGAATGTCTCCGAGCACTTGTCCGTCCACCAGGACTTGGAGCGCTTGGTAGGTTTGGACTCAGTCGAATGGACAAGCCATGCGTCCGAGAACGCGGTCGCGATAGCATCAGCTAAAGCTTCAACGCCTTCCTTGGTTGCCGGGGCTGCGACAGGAATAGCCGCAAGATCCCGGAGAATATCCGAAATGAAAGACTTCTCAGCCTCGCTTCCGGGTTTAATTGTCTGTTGCCCACATCCGGGCGGTTCAGGACTGATATCAAGATCTGTGCAGATCGGGACATGATCTGACGGACCCTGGAGATTGTGCTCCAATCTGGGCATTGAGATTAGGATCTCAGATGGAGCTAAGAATACAAGATCCAACACGTTGGATCTCTGGTTTGGATTAGGACTGATCCTTGTCGGTCCATGATTAGAAGGTCGTGCCCATTCGAGGCCGATCTGAGATGCGGTATCCTGCAACGATATTGCTGTCAATGACTCGCCATGCTCATAGTCATCCCAGGTCGTCAACACGCAGTTGAAGTCACCAGCGATATAGATGAAAGGTGGCAAAGAATGCACACGAGCAGCGAGGTGCTCAATAGCTGTGTGTTGATCGTCAGAGTAGACGTTCATTAAGTTAAGAACCTCGCCCCCACTAAAGAGGGAGAGGATGAAGATGTCGCGATGGTCGACAATGTCACAACGCATGGCAGGACGATAGCGGGAGAGCCTAGTCGAAACATAGGTGATCATGCGGGGAACTTCCCCTTCCTTGATGCGCACCATTTGCAGCCAATCAGGATGCTTTGGTGCGCCGATAACCTCATCGCCCTCCATAGTAGTGGTGGATGGTGCATGCCTTATGAAATTCCAAGGGGTTTCTTGGAAAAATAAAAGATTGAATTTTGTTTTACAAATTTCTAGGAGAGTATCTATGTGTGCATAGGTGTGACAAATGTTCTGACAAAAAATATGTAGCCCGCTATTTAGATCCTGCTGGTTTGTCTAGGTTCTGTTTGGGTGTTAGTAATTTTTTTTTTTTTTTTTTTTTTTTTTGATCAACAACTTGTATACCGGTGCTCGATGGCAGCCTGCTCGCTATCTACAAACACGTACGCTACGCAGCCTGGGTACTAAGTAAACTACTAAAAGACGTCCGCCCCCCCAACCAAGCCGCCGAAGCTCCCATAAAGCCAGACCCACCTCGCAAAAACGGTGACGTGGGATAAGGGGAGGAGACCATCGAGGCCCCGCTAAACCCCAAAGTCGTCGGACGCTGTTCGGAGGCCACGCAGCGCAAATGAGATAAGAATCGCACCACCCGGGAGGTGGCAGAGTGTCTTGAGGCCGACCAGCCAGAGAAGCACCTGCCCGAAACCAGATGCAGAAAGTTAGCGGCGCCGCAATCCGCTCTAATAGCGGTCCACAAGCGTGAAAGAATAGCGGTGGGCGCAGGTCTCCAAACCCTAAAGTCCGAGGGTGTCAATTCACCATAAATCCCCCAAAAGGAGGAATAACCCCGCCCACAGCGATTATCCGACACCCGGGGTGTTAGTAAGTTGGCGGCGAGCAGCGTGCTCACGTACCTGACAATACTCGGCCATGATCCACTCACGGTCGTAGCGATGGGCCCAGAACTTACATGACGCTGAGTTGGCGGCGTGGTCCTTGTGTCAATTGACACAGCGACCCTTATGGGGGCAGGGCCGGTCATGAGGGGTGGGCGGCACAGGGGGTTTCGCTTTCGCGTTGCCCTTGCAACATCCCGCATGTTGACGGTGCTCCTTCTGTTCGTGTGGACCTGAACAGATGGGGCAAGAGAGTTGCTTCGCCTTGTTGGTGAATGACATCTGCAGTTCTTGAGCTTACCCGGAGTGGTGAGCTATCAAGCAAGGTCAATGCCTGCATAACTATGAGCATCTTGTACTTCTGCTCCTTTAAATGAATGACTATGAAGGATACTTGAGCCTCTGCTATATCTCCTATGCGAAACTTGATTGGATCAATGGCCTCGTATCTGAATAAAAAATCAACACAATTAGTCCACCAGCAGAACTTATGGGCTATGTTACTAACTGTTGTTTTTCACCCTCCTGATAGTGCTCATAATACTCCACAGAATTATCTTTGGTGTGGACCAGAGTTCCATCAGTAGTGCATGCTGCAAGAATGCCATCAGGATCAATGGCAAAAGAGGAGATGATTTGGTCTGGAGATGCCTGAGAGCGAGGAGTGAAGTAGCGGTTTGCCATATCGATAGTAAGATACCCAGCACTGCTTGAAGCATTCCACAGTTCAAGAGATTCTTCAGGAAAATGGCGAGCAAAAATATTATGGATTTCTTCAATGCATCTTATTGCATCAGCAAAGGATTCCGATCCAAAACCTGTCAAGGCTGCTGACTGGCAGAAGTATGCCCGCTGACAGGGTTCACTATAAGCCCTGTCATAAACCATTAATTCATATATGCTGCAGTCTGTTTGCTTACATCTTGAATGGCCACTTAATAGGAGGCATGGTGCTGCCAGTTATAATGCCCTGGACTTGCAAGACAACTTCTTCAATTCCACCATTGTTGTCCAAGTAAGTCAGCTTCCAGCATCGAGGATATTCAGTATATGTAGGCTGTACAAAACGATGCAGCCCCTCCTCCTAAATGCTGTCAGTGAGTTGCACATCTATTTTCTCTGAAACGAGAGCACATACCATGTCAAACTTGCAGAGCTGAAGATGGTTTGGCATGCGTTCTTTGGACATTTGTTCCAGAGATGTTTCTGTGTAACATCTTTCAGTCCTCCATCTACCAAATCAATAGACAACTTACTAGCTGCATTTATGTCATAGTGTTCATCCATGGCAGAAATTGGAAGGTGGGGAGTCTGAATGAGCAGCATCAGTGGTTAATATGAGAAGAGAATTTGATGCCCTTACAAGTATTGATGCAGGGTCATCAGTCATATATTAGCCGCTTGTTTAGCGTGTTTTGCTGTCTCCAATTTCTGCGGTCCTGCACAGTTTGCCATTTATTGGTGCCTCAATTTGTTCATAAATTTGGGGTGAACCCCCATTGAAATCTGCTGACATTCAGAGCCTGGGTTCTATAGCAACAGAGAGATATAGCACCACTATTGCTTGTGGCTGTAGTCTTGCTCTTAACCACAAATCATCCTGCTGTTCATTGCTGCCAGTCCTCTATTCGATATGCCCTGCCAGTCTCATCTGTCACCTAATTTGTGGAGAAACTCCTCTCTGGAACTCCTCAATATTGGCTCTGTCAATGCCAACAGCCGTCAGTTAGTGCTCGCACACCTGGAGGTGCTTGCCACCAAACTTGGTTTCAGCGTTACTGAAAGGGGTATGTGTCGATGTCATCCGGCCTTCAAAGTGTAGCCTTACATTTTGCTTTATAGCACCATCCTCCATTGTTCTCCAGAACAATTTAGACCATCTATCACTTGAGTTAACCCACTCAATCCTCAGCCACCTCCCTTTCAATGGATTAAAGAGTTTTGCTCTTACATCCCACTGCACTGCTGCTCAAGCTGCTGCATATCAGCAATTTTGTGTTCAAAGAGTTCTGGCGTCCTTGGGTCTCAATTTTCGGGATGTTCAGTGTTTGCTCCAGCACTATGGTGCCATTATTTCAGGTTCCTGCACTCTTCTCACCACTTTGCCTGCATCCATGCACTTCAAACCAAGGTACATCAACTTTGTGGTTCCCTATCGCTCTGAAAGACAATTTGCAGCGCGACCTTTGCAACACCAGCTAC